CAGCCGTGATGGCGAACCTATGGCACACGTGCCACAGGTGGCCCATGGAGCCATATCTGTGGGCACATGAGCGTTGCTCTAGCTCAGCTCCAGCGTGCATGGGCACGCCAGCCAGCTGATTTTCGGGCCTCTCGGGCCCACCGGAAGTTGGGAAACGGGCCATTTCCGGCCTCCGAGGGGTGGTGGTGGAGGCTGTTTTTGCCCTTCCCAGGCTCCAAGAAAGCCTCTGGAGTCTGGGGAGGGTGAAAAATGGGCTTTCGGGGCCCACCGGTAACCCTTTTGCCTGTCTCGATGAGTTCAGGACGCAAAAGCCTATCATTCGAAAACTACCATGCGACTCATTGTAGAATGGGTTGAGTTATCTGCTGCTGTTGTGGCCTATCAGCGGCCTGTGCAGCTAGTAGCTGATTCCAACAGCGAGGAGGCTGGTGTGGTGCTGCGCCAGCAGCCTGTGCAGCTGGCACTTGAGTCGGACAATGAGGAGGCTGGAGAAGATGTGGTGCCAGAGGCGGGGATTCAGACAGGGCCTTCAGAACCTCCAGAAGCTCCCATAAGTGAAGAGGAAGAGGAGGAGGAGCCTCTTATTGATGCACGGGTGCGCAGAGCTGCCGAAAGGCAGGAGTGGCTCCTCAAGAGGAGGTCTCCTCAAGAGGCTTGGGGCTAATTGGCCTCTCCCTTAGCCTATTTAAGGAAGGACGACGACTGAGGCAATTTGCAGGAAACAACTTCGTTCATATTCCTTCACGTCTTGATTCCAGAAACGTTTGATTCGGCTCTTGTTTCTCTCTTGCCAGTTTTCCTGCAAATTGCTTCTGGGCATTCTGCCAACCACAGTAAGATTACGGTTATCTGAAATACTGTGCTTCAGAATTGAGTTATTATTCTTTGGATTCCTGTCGGCTGTTAATGAAGTTAAATTAACAGCCCTTGTTCAGAAAAGACTGATTTAAATTAAACACAACTAAACTAAACTAACTAAACTAACCACAAACTAAATTGTGTTGCTGGTCTTTTAAGCCTTATGGGAGGGGCCAATCATCTCCTGGCTTTACTCCCGAGTCGTCCTCTCTGCTTTAGCTGCTCCTGCCTTCTGGCAGCTCTTCTCATACGTGCACTAGGAACAGGCTCCTCCTGTTCCTCTGCCTCTCTGCTGTCAGCCTCCGCATATCATTCCCCGATGGCCCTGGCCCATCTCTGCCTCCGACGCAGAGCCCTCATCCAGGCCTTCCCCAGCCTCCAGGACTGGCCCCTGTTCTTCCTCAGCCTCACCGCTGTACGACTCCGCTGCCAGCTCCACAGGCTGCTGGCGGACCACAACAGGGCCGTGTGAACTCTGGCAATGGGTTCAGGAAGGATGCCCGCCTTTGTCTGGCTCCCGGAAAAGTAATTTCCTTTGCATTTTGTGGGAAACTGGCTCTGAATCATTGGTGGCACTTTTAGCTGGCTCTCACACATCCTGCCTGGCGGCAACTTTTGCGTTAAGTGAGCATTGTCTGAGTTTGCAGGATAACATCCCACATCTTGGATTTCTTAAAATCCAAGGGTTGGGTTTTACATCACAAACCAGGTTTAAGCTTGATGGGCGAGTCGTCCGTTGGAAATAAATTTCCCCTTAAATCCAATTTTCTATGGGTCAGTTTGGAGGGGATAAATCGAATTCTTCTTTAGGATTGATTTGTCAAATGCTATTCCCCCATACCTCCAAAAAAAAAAAAAGATTTAAAAGCCAAACTAAAAAAAGATTTAAAAGCCAAAGTTTTAAAAACTTCACTTTTCCTTTTCCCTCCACGAATGTTTTTCTTCGGTGTCTTTGCCTTTATCAAACTGCAGCCCCAAGAGCAGTGATCTTCTTTTGACTTAAATCTGATTATAAAACTGAAATTAAATCGCAAAGAGGTCTCGGTCGTAGTTCTTTTATACCAGAATAAATCCAGGTTTGCTATCTTGGCTTGAAACCGAAGGACAGTGTGGCTGATTGGCACTATGGTTAGCCAAACTATGGTTTAACCTTGTTAAACTACAGGTAAACCTCGACTTGAATTGACTATTCAAAGTTCTGAAAGACACTGAAAAAGTGACACACTTAATGACCGTTGCAGCATCCCCATGGTCGTAATCAAAATTCAGGCGCTTAGCAATTGATTCATATTTATGATGGTTGCAGTATCCCTATGTCATGCGATCCCCTTTTGCGACATACTGAAAATCAACGGGGAAGCTGGATTCATATAACAACCGTGTTACTAATTTTAACAAGTGCAGTGACTCACTTAACAACTGCAGAAAGAAATAGCGATAGCCCTTAGACTTATATACCGCTTCACAGTGCTTCACAGCCCTCTCTAAGCGGTTTACAGAGTCAGCCTCTTGCCCCCCCAACAATCTGGGTCCTCATTTTACCCACCTTGGAAGGACGGAAGGCTGAGTCAACCTTGAGCCAGTCAGGATCGAACCGTTGACACTGGGCAGAATTAGTCTGCAATCCTGCATTCTAACCACTGGGAAGGAAGGGAAAGGGAAGGGAAGGAAGGAAGGAAGGAAGGTCAATAGCATTTAAGACTTATATACCGCTTCACAGTGCTTTTACAGCTGTCTCTAAGCGTTTTACAAAGTCAGCCTATTTGCCCCCAACAATCTGGGTCCTCATTTTACCGAGCTCGGAAGGACAGAAGGCTGAGTCAAGGTCGTAAAATGGGGCAAAAACTCACTTCTCAAAGGTCTCGTTTAGCAACAGAAAAGTTGGACTCCATTATGGTTGGGGACTATGGAGTTTTTGGCAACACGCTGAAGCCTAAACTCTGCCCTGCTCCTTTTGCTCCTCCAAAACTTGGCCTCGATTCTTAGCACGCTGCCAAATTCGCCTCTGCAAATTTCCCATATTTTTTTTTTTTGTCCCTGTCGTCGGGAAAAAGACGGATAAGCGCGATTGCACAGGCAAGACACTTTTAATTTGTTTTTCTCCGAGGTTGCCAAGGTTCAAGAGGATGCGAGCCAGGCCAGAAACCTTTAAAAGAAAGGGAGCGAGAAAAATCCAATTTTATTTTATTTTTTTGACATGCCTGGGTGCCCTGCCAAGTAGAACTCAGTGTCTTCCTAGTTGCTTTTGACTCCGGAGGGTTTTGACGGTTCTGGCATTCAAAGGAAAGCAGAAAGAAATTCCTGCCTGGATGGGGGATCTGCTGGCAGATATATAGGGCTGGGGGTTCGAAACACGGAGACCCCAATTTTGCTTGCGGAAGAGAGAAGATACCAGACGGTTCTACCGATGGACGGCTGGGGCTGTGTTGATTTACCATGCTCCTCTCCGGCCCCATCAACACCCCAGTTGTTAACTAAAAGCCACAGGCAACCAGGCGCCACATAAATACAGGTTAGTCCTCGACTTACAACAATTGATTTAGTGACGGTCCGAAGTTACAATGGCACTGAAAAAAGTGACTTACGACCAGGGTGGGCTTCAAAAATTTTAGCAAGGGATACTGTGCTCGGTTGCTGGGTGGATGTGGCCAAGGTGGGCATGGCCTAGTCGGGTGGGGGGCATTTTTGCCCTCCCCGGGCTCCGGAGGCTTTCCTTGAGCCTCCGGGAGGGTGAAAACGGCCTCCCCAGGCTCCGGAGGCCCTCCGGAGGCCCTCCAGAGCGTAGGCCCGTTTTTTGCCCTCTCCGAACCTCCACGCACCACCCTGCACTTACCTGCATCCAAAACGGGCCGCGTGGGGACTCCTAGGAGGGGAGGGGAGGGGTGGGCGGGGCCAGCCAGAAGTGGGATTTGGGGCTTCTCCGAACTGCACAGAATCTTAGCTAGAGGTTCTCCCGAACCCCTGCGAACCCCCCTGCTTACGACCACTTTTCACACTTGCGACCATTGCAAGCATCCCCATGGTCACGCAAGCAAAATGGAGACACTTGGCAGCTGTCTCCTATTTATGATGGTGGCACTGTCATTGTACTCGGTGTACATTGGCTGAGGATGATGGTCCTTGTAGTAGTGGTAGTTAGGGAAATCCCTATTTGCAAAGAACGGTGCTTATTCTGTGGATTACAAATGCAATACTTGGTTATAATGCGAGTAGCCAAAACTTGGGATGAGCCTCATTCTAAGAGATGGCAGAATAACTGATGAATAAATGAGATTTTATTTAAAAGCACAAAGGGATCAATGTTCTTCAATGCTCAAAACAATGAATTAATCATGCTTCTAGTCCTCAGCTTCAGCACTATTTCCAGTCCCAAAGCCCAAAGGGATCCACCTTTTTATAGGCACAAAACAATGAATTAATCATGCTTCTAGTCCTCAGCTTCAGCACTATTTCCAGTCCCAAACCCCAAAGGGATTCACCTTTTTATAGGCACAACACAATGAATTAATCATGCTTCTAGTCCTCGGCTTCAGCACTATTTCCAAAGTGATCCAGTTTTTTATATGCACACAACACTGAATTAATCATGTTTCTAGTCCTCAGCTTCAGCACTATTTCCAGTCCCAAAACCCAAAGGAATCATTTTTTAAAAAGTGCACAAAATCATGTTACCAGTCCTCAGTTATTTTCCAGTCTCATTTTAGGTCTCAAAATGTGTGTGTATACTTTATTTTATGCTGCTCCTTCCAGAAGGCTTAACACGCCAAGGAAGCCTCCTCTGAAATGCATCGGATCACAACTCCCATAAGCCCCATCCTAGGCTTATAGTTATGACCCATATATGAACTATAGGTATGGACGGAGTTTGCGCATGCGCTGCCTTTTCTTTTCCTCCCTCCCCGCCGTATTATCGGTTTCCATCTTTATCACTGGCAAGCGCGGACTAGGAGGTCTTCGTCAACCCGCCGTCCGTGCCAATAGTAAAGATGGAAACCGAGAATACCAGCGGGGGGGGGAGAGAAAAGGAAGCGCACGCGCAGATCCCACCCAGGCTGGCGGCGACCCGGAAGAGATTCTGCCCGGAGTTGGTCACGTGAAAGGGCTCTATCTAAACAGTTGCAAATGGCTGCTGGTGGGTTTTTTGCAGCTGGATGGATATTGAGGGGAGCCGTTTGGGGCTTGGCTGGCCGGGCTTTTTGTGCGGAGATGGGCCGCTGAACGAGCCGGGAAGAAACGGGTAGACTCTATATAGCAAGAGGGTGGGGGGTGGAGGTCTGTCTTCCAAGGCTTGGGTGCCTCTGAGCATGTACAGAGTGCCTCGCCTCTTCCCTTTCTCAAGGGAGCAGAGAATGGCTGGCCAAGCTGTGTAAAGCGAGGAGGGGAATAATATAATATTAATATAATATAATATAATATAATATAATATAATATAATATAATATAGTTATAATATAATATAATATAATATAATATAATATAATATAATATAATATATTTTAAAATATTAAAATAAAGCTGTCAAGCAAGGGGAATAATATATAATAAATATATAATATATAATATAATATAATATTTTTTTTTTAAAAAATTGATTTATATGTCGCCGTTCTCCGGAGACTCATGGCGGCTTACAATGTGCTAAGCAATAGTTTAAAATATTAAAATCTGTAAAGCGAGGGGAATAATATAATATTAATATAATATAATATAATAATATTTTAAAATATTAAAATAATAAAACTGTAAATCGAGGATGGGAATAATATAATATATAATATAATTTAAAATATTAAAGCTGTCAAGCAAAGGGAATAACATAATATAATAAATATAATAATATTTTAAAATATTAAAATAAAGCTGTCAAGCAAGGAATAATAATATAAATATAAGATAATATTTTAAAATATTAAAGCTGTCAAGCAAGGAGGGGAATAAATATAAAAATAATAAAAACACAAGAAAAGGGGAAAAAATAGCTATTGTGAATATAAATCAGATTTTTAACTCCTCCTATTAAAATAGCATTTATTAAAAATAAGACCTGCGCCTTTCCTAGAGTGCATTTTTTTCATGTGATTGACTGTCCATCCCTTTCTTTGGAAAATAGGTTTTTTTTTAAAAGAGGTCCATCCCCCAAAATGTGTAAAAATTGAGCAGGATTTTGACGACTGCTGTGAACATGCACTGTTAATAAATTTTAATACATTTCGACACCACTTGTGCTTGCTTTTGGACGCAGGTTTCACCATCCTCCTGTCTTCCTTTCTGTGGAAATTTAGAGTGGTTTTATTTTTAAAAAATGTCCATCCTTCAGTTCAATATTTTGGGGGGGCCTTTGTCTTTTGAATTTCCCCAACACCCATAAAACACAAGAATTTAACAACCAGGCTGGGAAAACTTCCAAACTTCTTGGGTGGAACTTTCTGTAGCTGGGAAGGTCTCGGAGGGGGAAAAAGAGCTTGTGGACTAGAAACTTGACTTCTCTGCTTTCCTTGCAGGCTGTGAGGTGCAGCTTGATGCTAGCAAGAGATTCCATGCCAGAAGAGCGGGACTCCATTAATCATGACCAGCAATCTGGATATTTTTGTGGGCAACACTACCTTGATCGATGAAGAAGTCTATCAACTGTGGCTAGATGGATATTCTGGTAAGTCTCGGTCCTTCACCTCCGTTGTCTGTTTCTCATGAAAAAGACAATTATGAAACGGTGTTTCTCATCATTGGCAACTTGAAGATGAGAAGGACTACAACTCCCAGAATTCCTCAGCTGGTTAGGGGAACTCTGGGAGTTGAAATCCACCCCTGTTAAAGCATGCTGGCTGGGGAATTCTGGGAGTTGTAGTACTCCCATCTTAAAGCATGCTGGCTGGGGGATTCTGGGAATTGAATTTCACCCATCTTAAAGCTGCCAAGGTTGAGGAATCCTAATCTAAGGCAGGGGTCCCCAACCTTTGCAATTTTAAGACGAGTGGACTTCAACTCCAAGAATCTCTCAACCAGCATGCTTTAAGATGTGAGAACTTTATCTCTCAAAATTCCCCAGCCAGCAATTGGAAGTCCACCCATTTTCAAGCTACCTGTTGTGACCTAAGCTTCCCCAAAAAGCACGAAGCAGAATCCTGGTCCCAACAAAATCCTTTTTATTAAACGAACAATGAATTCCCCTCATTCACATCCAGCCAAGTCTTTCAAGGGAGAATTTAAAGTCACAGACCTCATCTGGCTTGGAGAGCTGCCAGGCCCGATATCTTCAAACCTTGGCAAGGCGTCTCGGAGAGTCACGAACCAATTAGACAAAGTAATTGTCTCCTGCAAACTCCACTCCCCTTTCGCTCCTCTTTTATTCCCTCTGGGAGGGGCCATTCATCGTCCACTTGTGGCTTTACTCCTGAGTCGACCCTTGTTCTTTAGTTCTCTTCGTCTGGCAATTCTGAGCATGCGCACCCTGGGAACAGGCTCCAGCTATTCCTCTGCCTCGCTGATGTCTGACTTCGAAGGCAGCTAATAACTGGCATCCGGCCCTGGCCCCTTCTCTGCCTCCGACGCAGAGCCCTCATCAGAGCCTTCCCCAGACTCCAGGACTGGCCCATGTTCCTCCCCAACCTCCTCACTGTCCGAATCTACTTCCAGCTCTGCTGGCTGCTGGCGGGCCACAACACTACCACATTTGAGAAACAGTAGAATAGATGATCTCTAAAGTCCCAATCCTGGCAACCTCGGAGAACATGAACTGGATTCTTGCATGTGTTTCCTTGTGGCTCTGTGCATGCTTTTTCTTGGCTGTGATTAGTTACATTCGCCTTAACGCCGGGCAGAAATGTTTGCAGTCTATAAATCTTCCCTGGTGTGAATCTCACTTCTTGAGACAAACTTTTCCCTCTTGGCTTTCTCCAGTCGATGATGCCGTCTCTCTTCGGCTGCGTTCTGGCATCCTGGAGCAGACCGGCGCCACGGTTGACGTCCTCCAGAGTGATACCATGGACCATTACCGCACCTTCTACATGTTGGAGCGTCTCCTCCATTCTCCCCCCAAGTTGCTGAACCAGCTGCTTTTCCAGATCCCGCCTTGCCGGCAGACGATGCTGATCGAAAGGTGGGCTGGCAAATAGTGGGTAACATGGCCCCTGGGTCGGATTTGGGCCACATACTCACTTAGATAGACTGTGGCAACTCAGCTGTTGTTTAGAATTAGAATAGAATGGAATGGAATGGAATGGAATGGAATAATAGAATAGAATAGAATGAGAGAATTGAATGGAGAATAGAATGGAATGGAATAGAGTAGAATAGAATAGAAGAATAAGGAATGGAACGGAACGGAACGGAACGGAACGGAACGGAACAGAATAATAGAATAGAATAGAATAGAATAGAATAGAATAGAATAGAATAGAATAGAATAGAAT